GTGCCTATTGTTGAGGAAATTGTTACTCTGGGCTGGCAAATGGGCTTGGAATTGGATGGTGGTGATGATGAGTTGGTGGAAGAACACAACACAGAACTGACCACCGAAGAACTCCAAGCCCTTCAAAAGGAACAGCAAGAAGACCCAGCTGAGGATGTTTCTCCAGTGGAGGAGGATGAGGCAGTAGCAACTGTCCCTTCTGCAGAAATTAAGGTGTGTCAGATGTGGGAAGAGATGCAAACTTTTATTGAAAACTCACCCAGAGAAAGCTGTAGTAGGCCATTGCCTTAATCTTTTCAATGACAATGTGATGCCTTACTACAGAGACAGCTTGCGAAGAAAGGAAAAAGAAGCTTCCATGGACAGATGTGTTGCGAGAAAATTGAGCAGTGAGCCACAACCAGGACCTAGTGGTATGCAGGCAAAACGTGCCAGGGAGTGCACGCCAGAAAGGTCCTCACTGCCTGATGTTATAATGGAAGGGGACTCTCCTTCCAAACAGTAACACCTCTCCTCCTCCCCCCTCCTCACCATCTTCCATACACCTACAGCATTCAACAACAAGGGTAAGTAATAACTTGAACATAGTTTTATAGGTTTATTTAGATGAATTAGGTATAAAATTTAGTTTGAAGCGAGATTTTTGGGTAGTCAGGAACGGATTAATTCACTTCCCATTATTTCTTATGGGAAATTTAGCTTTGGATTACGAGTTTTCGGAATATGAGCTGTCTCCAGAAACGGATTAAACTCTTAAACCGAGGTACCACTGTACTTTAAATGTAAAGTGTTTATGGCCATTGCTCCCTTCGCCTCTCTGAGGGTCCAGGTTCTGGTTTGTGGTCCCCAGTAGGCTTACAAAGGACTCTGCCACTGATGACACTCAAGTAGTATGGCACTTGATCAGTAAGATAGCGTCAGGCAGCCGATGTGGCTCCCCACAGAACCAGTGTTTTACTGTTCTGAGAATATATTGTGCTCATATTAGTGACTAATTTACTAGAGCATACTAATGTTCCACATGTTATACATAAATTTATCAAACAGCATACTACTGAATAATAATATGGGAAAAACCCAGTGAAAAAAAAACAGCGTTGAATGTAATGAAACACAATTTTTTGGGTGAGCCCCAGATGCTCCCTGGAGCTTATCGGGGTAATGTGTGTTATATTAGACCGGGACATTAGCTAAGGAGTTCAGACCTACCAGGGACCATGAGCCAGAACCTGGCCCCTTCAGAGAGGTTTCAGGGAGCAATAGCCCTGGGTTGGGGGTTTTCCTTATCTGCTATCGACTAGGGTTAGGCACCTAGAAAGGTAGGCATAACAAAAAAATCTCCACATAGTAAGAATCTAACAACAAAAGCAAGCAGAGGTAGAACTCCCTACAATCCCAAGGAAACAAGCAAACGTAACCCAACTGCCGTGCCGCTCATCCGCACAGTCCTCCCCCTCACCGAGAGCAAGGAGAGGGGGGAGCCGGACCTCGCCTCACCGGCTGCATAGCACTCCAGTTCGGAAGCTAAGCTTCAACAAACGTGACAAAAATGCCGACCGGTGGGAGGGAGGGTCGCCAGGGAGAGTCTGGGGTTCACCCAGAAAATGGCGTTTCATTACATCCAACGCTGGTTTTCTGAGGGGAGCCCCTACAGCTCCCTGGCGGTACATACCCAAAGAGAAGGGAAAGAAAAGGCTGACCCGGGAGACAGCCGCCACAAACTCCGCAGTGGCAAGTCAAGACAACAGGCAGCAACCTGTGACCCAAAGCAACACAAGAACGCCCAGGAGCAGACACGCTCACAAAATAAGGGGCGGCCAGAAACCTGTGCGACCTCCAAATCCCCGCGCCCGAAATGAGCCCAAGGCATGTTACCAACATGGCAGCAAAAGCTGCAAACGTTCGAACGGCTTGGGCGCGAGGATAGACCGCAGGCTGGCAAGACTTAATAACCCGAGCCCTGGAACAGGGAACTAGATTTATTCCTCCAAGGAGTGCCGGACCAACCGGGCTGTGGTGGGTATGTGGGCTGCTCCAAGCAACAGCCTGGTGGACCAAACTCTCACAAGTCAAGCCTGGCCTCGGGCCGGGCTTGGGAAGTAGAACTACTCCCAGAACCCCATCAACCAGGTAACTAAGGAAACCGGATCAACCCAAAGCTCATCCCCAGTCATGGCACACAGGTAATGGCGAAGAGCCACAACCAGACAACACATGATGCACCCCCAGGCCTAACCAACCAAGCATCAATAACCCAAGGACCCTTCCGGAAAGCTGCCGTACGTCTTTTGTCAGAAAAGACGGAGAAGGCTGCAAACATACAAACTTACCATCAGGACCAAAAGAGCAGAAACCCCTGTGCCGGAGGAGAGCAGGAAGCTTCCCGACCCGACCCACAGAGGCCTGTGCCAACAAAAACAGGGCCTTGGAAAAACAATCTTGAACCAAAGGGGCCACCACAAACCGAGGAGAGAAAAGAGAAGAGAGCAGCCTGACCAAAGACCAGGACGACTCAGGCAGCGCATGAGCAGGCCGGAGGTGAAACAAAGCACAAGAAAGTGTTCGGAACGGAGCAGATGTGACGTCCACCCCGAACGAAAGCTGGAGCGGCTCCGACAGCACCACATGATACGAGGCGACAGGAAGAAGCATCAATGACGGTCCTGAAAACCAAGAAAGAACAAAACAACCCGATCCAAATGAGAAGGCAACCTATGAAGAGCAAGAAAATGGGGAAAAGAAACTCCTGGATACTTCATACGGTCGTCGAGACAAAGCTCCTATGTCTGACACCATCAACGAAGCTACCTGATCACCAAGGAGACGGTGATACACCAGCATCAAAAATACCAGACGCGAAGATCAGAGGAGAAGGCCGAACCTGCCACGTACTGGACCAGTCCGCCCTGCCGAAAGAGGAGGAGCCGCGCGAAACGCCCCGGGTTTGGATGGACACCAAGCAAGCAGCACCTGAAAACAAGGCTGGGCTAGCCACCAAGGGGCCACGAGGACTACTCGCCCTGGTAAGGACTCCAATCGAGCAAACCCAAAGTAACAGCTGGACCGGGGGAAAGAGGTACAGGTAACTCCACCTCGACCAGTCCTGCCGAAAGGCATCTACCATGAATGCCTTGCAGGCAGGGTAGGACGCCACAGAGTGGGAGACGCCAAGACCACACCGACGCAAAGATGTCCATGTCCAGGAATCCATACGTCCAGCAGAGCCAACGAAACGAGTCGGTGACAACTGGCCATTCCATGAACAGTGGAATGAACCGAGACAGGCCGTCCGCCAGGACGTTGGACACTCCCGACATGAACCACACGGAGAGCCAAACCCCGAGAAACCAACAGACAAGCCACCCAAAGGGACCAACCCCAAAGAGGCAAGGACCAAAGAGAACCCCCATGGTTCCGGCAATGAACGACCGGCGAACAGTCCGGCTCTACCATCCAGGTCCGCCCGGATGGTAGAGCAGACAAGCGGAATAACTGGGAGCCCACACTAGCCAATCGACGAGGTAAGCCAGAAAACGAATCCCGAACAGATGCAGACAGGTCACCGAGATCTGGTAAAGATGCATAAATACACTAAGTGCCAATTACAAACTAGGGAAGGCAACAAAAGCAGGAAGCCTGAAGCCCCACCAACAACTATGCCAGTCCCGGAACCCTGGGGAGGAACGTGCCAAGAAGTGACCCGGAAGTCCAGGGACACCAACCAGGCACCAGGCCCCAAAAGAAGCTGGACCGGAGACAACAGTCATCTAAAGAGGGGCAAAGAATCCAGGGCGCAGACTGAACAAGTCTAGAAGAACTGCAGATCCGCAAAGTCCCGTGTTGGCATTGGAACAGGCGGGAACCCCGGAAGGATAAGGGTGGATCGATCACGTCCAATCACACCCCACACAAAGATGACATGACAAAACGCAGGGGAAGAGGCCTACCCTGCCAGCCCCGAACCCCCCAAAAAGGGAGAAGCCATCTGACGCCACCAGAGGCTGGAAGACAACCAAAAACGCCCACAAACCGCAGGACCAAGCTAGAACTAACAGACCAAGCCACCCCCCAGCGCCCCGTCAACAGCGAAGGGATCAGAGCCCCTTCCGAAAGGAAAAAAATACCAGTGAAAAAACAATTCAGCAACAATGAAAGACAGAAATTTACAATAACAATTGCTACTTGCGAGACCCCACACCACCCCAGCTGGGCACCTCCAGCACCAACATTTATGAATCAATGACACAGCGAGAAAAGATCCCTTCACCACAGCCAAAGTAATTTATTATTCCCCCTTACCCCTATGATCAGGGAATGCATTAACAGAAAAGATTTGGAATTTATTTTTCTGCACACTGAAGGGTTTGTCATTTGAACGTGCAGCTCATGGGCTAACTATTGATATTCACTCTGTCTCAGTCGTGTGTTCAGCTTCTTGCTCTCAAGCTCACTACTCTCTCACCTTGACCAACTTTTCAGCATTTATTCTTTTACCTATCTGATCTTTGTGAGGTAACCTCATTCACCAGATATTCCTCTTACTACTACTACTGTAATACAAATATCCTCCAACATGCTGCATTTTGCAAGTACCAAGTCAATGAGTATTTCTACCATTGCATCATTCACACGGTAATGTGCATATTTTTCTACAAAATTCAACTATCTTTCATGGTACATCTCTTTTCATATACTGTACTCTACAGTCAATTTTTTATTTCTATGATGCCATGTGAATAAACATTATTCTTAGGGCCTGTTTCAACAGTCATTCAAATCATCCAGTACAATTACTCTTTAACATCCTACCAGTTTCACTACACCACCACCTTCACCCTTTCAAACATTAATTTCATGCACAAGCACTATGAACTGCTCTATGAAAAGTTATTCATTGCCTTATACCATGCCTCAATGCCTCATTCATTAAAATACCTACTCCTTCCTTTAATGGAGAGCATATACAATAGGAAAAAAAAAAAAAGGAGGCAAACATTTACTTGTCATAGATGATGCCATGAAGTCCAGCCTTCTTGAGGAATTTGATATTTTCTTGATCATTATTGTCGTCACCCCAGCAGAACACTATTAAGTTGTAATCCATTGCCATTTTCATCTGGCTGTGGTCGCGCATCAAATCTTCCGTATGAACGTTAATACCCTGCGAAAAATACCATGCCATATAACATTCCTGAATAATATAATGTCAACTCAATACTGCTTTAAGGGGCATATTACCCTATTTTTTAATGTTTAATATCAAACTTTTATACTAGTTGTATATAAGAAGAGCTGCAACTGGTCTATGTTTCAGTATCGCACCCTAAATAGGAAGTGAGGGATTTTTTTTTTCAACGAATTTTACACATTTTCAATAAAATTCTACAACCACAATTTTCAAATGAAATCATTTCTATGACCCTCATCTATTATATTAGCATATAATAATGGATTTGTATAGAAAGGGTTATCCAAAATATTTTTAGTTTTACTAATAAAAGTAGTCAAAGTTCCCCAAAAATATATGCCAATATTTCATGTTTGCAAATATTTATAAAATCAATAAATGAACTTAGGAATAAAGTGTTCTATAAGTTTATTAGAGATGTTAACTCTACATATAAGGTGTAAATTTCATGTAAATTACAAAAAAATGAAAGAGGAGAGTTAATTTTATGTTACTTGACTTGTTTGTTGTTGTTTAAGATTCGCTACTTGGAACAAAAAGTTCCAAGTAGCTCGGGCTATGGGGAGCCCCTGTGTTACTTGATAAATGAGATCAAACATTCTGCCACCTGTGGTTAAAGTTGACTTCAACCAATTTCCTCCAAAATTTGCACCCTTACAGATAGGCTTACGTTCTGTAAGGTGTACAAGTTTCATGCAAATTGGTTGATAAAAAATGAGAAAAAAAATTCAAGAAAAAACAATTTTTTTTTTTTTTTTTGGGGGGGGGGGGGGGGGGCATAAAACTAAATATTAAAATACTTTATTATATGCTATTGTGATAGCTTAGAGTCAGACATTATTTCAGTTGACACTTGTTTGATGTTAATTTTTGACCATTTTGGAAAATTTGACAAATAATTCAATATTTTTTCCTCCCTTCCTATTTATACTACGATGCCAAGACTTGGGCCAGTTGAACCAAATTTTATATACAACTAGTCAAAAAAGTTTGATCAAAATTGAACCAGTTTTCATTTATCGCATTTTCCATAATACGGCCCTTAATCAAACATTAAAAATTACCTTTGCAAGAGAACATCGTGCCCCATAACTACAATAAATTAAATGGATTAAAAGAAAGAACATTAGTTTGAAAAACAATGTCACTGTTCATGGTTTGACAAGCCCACTAGAACCAGTGTGGAAATAATCTTCAATTCATTATATAATTTATGCATTGCCACCCTGTTTGCCATTCTGATTTTTATTTCATTTAGCAGTCTTTCCCTTAATCTCTAGGGATAACTTACAGCTTGGAGTGTACGTGGAATGTACCTTTTGCTAGACATTCCACGCTGGCTTGAGCTCGTCTCTAGTGATCCAGTAACCTTTATGACTTTTTGGAAATAAAAAGGTTACACTGTATTAGGTTAGGTAATGCAGGGACATTAAAAGTGTTCAGTGATGCTGACAAGAATGTCACCCACATTATGGACAAACCAGAGTGGCTTGTGCTCAGTAAGGTGCTTTTTTCCTATTTCCTCAGCTGTGTTTTTAAATACAAATAGTTTATAATGGTTTCTTGGGATGTCCTGTTTTAACAGCAAAGTTAGTTTCATGGCCCTAGATATGTGTTGTCTATTTTAAGTAAACATGATCATAAATAAAGGCCTACCAAGAAAATAATATTTAAATTAAATATGACATTGGGCTCCACTGACCAATTACAAAAAGTTCAGTTTCATGCTTGTTTAGTTGTGTTTATAAGGAGCAAGATGTAGTTCTAGAGCCTCACCTAACAACTAATGTATTTGGTGCATTTAAACCTCCCAATATTCTTGTAGTGTTGTACTTCCTGTGAATGGTGGCTGCTTCCACTACTGCTGCTTCAAGCTGCTTTTACCCGTTTACAAGCTGCTTCTACCTGTTTACCAACCCACTACATCAAGAGTATTTTTTTTTTACATCTGTGCATTTCTGTTTCCAATTTTCAGCTGTGTCCATTTGTTATCTGTTGCCTGGAAAAGGCCATCTCTATATGCTTCATCTGCTGTACTGTATATCCCTTTGTATCTTATCATATCGTTTCTGGTTCTTCTCTCTTCTGCCAGTAGTGTTTATTAAAGTTCTCTTAGCTCATCACTTAAGTTTTGTAGCATATCTTTGAACTTTAAATCTTGAATTTTGCCAAACTGGGGTTACATGCTGAATTTGTCTAATGTAGAGTAGACAGTATTTTGAAGTATTACTAAGCAATGCATATTACTGCCAGTATCACACATGCTGCTGATATTTATACTAAGTTTAGGCTACATAAAAAAAAAAAACTGTAGACTAATCAGATAAATTAGTGGATGAAGAAATTGAGAGCTCAATATTCCATCCTATACTTAAATATATAAACATTTATGGGCTATTCATTCCCATGCCACCTCTTGGGTGGCTTAATCTTCATCAATCAATATGAACATGATGATTAACAGCAACAGAATAAAATGCTTAATTATATATATATGTTCTGTAGCTGCAGGAGGAAATGGACCAGAGGGGAAGATGGAGGGAGAGGGAGAGGCGGAGGGAGAGGGAGAGGCGGAGGGAGAGGGAGAGGCGGAGGGAGAGGGAGAGGCGGAGGGAGAGGGAGAGGCGGAGGGAGAGGGAGAGGCGGAGGGAGAGGGAGAGGCGGAGGGAGAGGGAGAGGCGGAGGGAGAGGGAGAGGCGGAGGGAGAAGAAGAGGCGGAGGGAGAAGAAGAGGCGGAGGGAGAAGAAGAGGCGGAGGGAGAAGAAGAGGCGGAGGGAGAAGAAGAGGCGGAGGGAGAAGAAGAGGCGGAGGGAGAAGAAGAGGCAGAGGGAGAGATAGAGGCAGAGAAAGGGGGAGTATTCAGTGCCTTGAGTTGGTCTGGTATCAGGGCTTAGTGTCCCCGCAGCCCGGTCATCACCCAGGTCTCCTGGTTGCTGGACTGGTCAACCGGAGAGGCGGAGGGAGGGGGAGACAAGGTGAAGTGAGACGGATGTTTTAACACTCACAAGTATGTCAGCATTGACAGCATATAAAATTGCATGAGGGATGGAAGATGTACGAGAGTCTTCATAAGGTGGCCACACTTCAGATACTCCTTGAGTAAGGAACATGACAGGGTACCGGTTCTGCTTGAGCCGAAGCATCGTACAGATGTCAGGATGAAAGCAAGAGAAAACAATTTTTCTCTTGCCAGAGTGTTCCAAAATCATCTGGTGAGAGAACATACATTTTGGTATTAGATATTAAGGCAAGCCATAAGCAATAGAAGAATACGAGGGAGGATATTTGCTGCGAGTTAATTGTACTGCTATGGGTATGTTTGGAGAAAGGCATGACAGCTAGTTTGTTCTGACTTCAGCTCAATGCAATAGAGTACATAAATAATGTGTGCATATTAGTTCTCCCTCTCGAAGTATTACACACACCAACACTCTCGGCAAAGCACTGCAGTTAATGGACCTCTTCATGCCACTGATGCACCAGCACTTATTTGATTTACAATTTAAAGTTCAGAAAAAAATTGTCTTTCCAAATATCCAAGAAAACAAAGCAGGAAAATAAAAAAAATAAAGGAATATAAAGATGATAAAACAAAGATTATGGCCATCAGTTACAAATAACTTTACTCGATTTTCAATTTTAGTGGTTAAGAATAATGCCATCAAGCTAGGAAGCTTCTCAACTTGCCCTCTCTACCAACACTTGAGGTCCCAAACCATGTGGGGAGTCATCTAGACATTCTCAGGTAATGTATCACATCTCCCACCCAGAACAAATCTCAGCGTTGTATGTAATGAATCGTCATTTTCCGGGTGAGCCCTGGAGGCTCCCCGAAGTTATCCAAACTGACATGTACAATCTTAGTTTGGGGTCATCAGTCACAGGAGTTCTTATACCTACCGGGAACTACGAGCCAGAACCTGGTCCCCTTAGAGGTGCAGGGAGCAATGGCCTATGAGCACTCTACATTTAGAGTATGTCAGCTTTGCCATTGAACGGGGAGGGCACCCAGAAAGATAGGTGAAACAATACGAACCTCCCGCTGGTACAAATTGCACCCTACGTCCGAACAGAGCAAGATAAATCACCCCCAAAAGAAAGCAACTCAACAAAAAGCAACAACTCATCCAACAATCACATTCACTCGTTAGCACCTGCCCCCTCATCCTGAAAGGGGTTGGGAGAGTGCCGGCTTAGGTGAGTAGACAGCTCGCCCCTCAGTTCGAGAATGATGAAAAACCGTCTATTAGAGGGAAGGAGGGTGTCAGCGAGCCTCCAGGACTCACCCAAAAAATGGCATTTCATACATTCAATGCTGGTTTTCTGTGGGAAGCCCCGTCAGCTCCCTGAAGCTAACTACCCACAGATTAGTAAAAGAGGGACCTACCCAGGCGGCGGCAGCACTGTAGGTCTCGAGACGAAGATGAAACAACAGGCCGCCACAGATGTCCTCAGGAAACACAAGGCTGAAGAGGGCCAGGAACAGTCAGATACCTGGTGGCCAGGACCTTGTTCGACCTCCAAAAACCCCATGCCCGAATGTCAACCCAAAACAGATTCCAAAAGACAGTGGCCAAAGCAGCATACTTCCGCACATCAGGGGCACGAAGGTAGACCGCAGGCTGGCTAGATTTTATAACACTGCAGACAATCTGAGACACACAAGTCCTGGAACAGGGAACCAGGCAAACTAGATCTACCCAGAGAGCGTTGGGTAGATCAATGCCAAACCAGTGGTTCGCAGGTAGTGACTTAAAGCCGCCACCGGACAGAAGACATGATGCACCCCTGTCCCAACCAACCAAGCATCCACCACCAACGGACCCCACTGGCACCCTGTTGTCTCAGTCTTCACCAGAAAAGAAGGAGAGAGCTGCAAAGAACAAAAAACCTTCAGGACCAAAAGCAACCCCATCCCAAACCCCCAGAGGCCAAAGCCAACAAAACATGGCTGTCATAAAACAATCCCAGATCGAAGGGGCCACAACAAACCGAGGGGAGGAAAGTGAGTCGTCCTGATCCAAAGACCAGAATGGCTCAGGCGGTGTATGAGCAAGCCGGAGGTGAAAAAATGCACGAGTGCACTTGCAGAATGGAGCAGAAGTGACATCAACCTCAAATACAAGTTGGAGCGGCTCCGCCAATGCTGCACGATAAGAAGTATTCGGCATGAGATGCTAGTCAAAAAAAAACCAAGAAAGAAAAGATGAAACAATCCTAACAGATACAGACAACACCCTACAAAGGAAAAGGAAATGGCAGAAAGACCTCCAGGAACTTCATACTGTTGCTGAGAGGAAGACTGCAGGTGGGACACCATCAAAGAAACCACCCAAACACCAAACACCCCGTGTCAAAAAAAAAAAAAAAAAAAAAAAAAAAAAAAGAGCAGAAGAGTAAATCGAACCAGTGAGGTACCTCACCGGCCCGACCCGCTGAAAGAGGTGGATCCGCGGAAAAACTCTTGGGTTTGGACACAGAGCAAGCAGCGTCTGAAACCATGGTTGAGCCTGTCACCAAGGGGCCAGGAGAAGCACTCTCACATGGCAGGATTCGAGCAAAGTAAGAACCCGGAGCCGCAGTTGGACTGGGAGATAATGTTATAGGAACCCTCACGTCTACCAGTCCCGCCAGAAGCATCCACCGCGAGAGCCTGGCAGTCTGAGAATGACGCCACATATAATGGAAGATGCAGAGACCAAGCCAACACGAAGAGGCCCATCTCCGGGCACCCAAACGTCTGACAAAAACTAGAGGAAGGAGCCGGCATTGACCATCCACACCATGGCAAGGAAATGCAGTACAATAGGCCATCTGCCAGGACGTTGGACACTCCCAGAATATGAATGGCTTGGAGAGCTAAACCCCGAGAACTCGGCAAAAGAGCTACCAGAAGCAACCAGCCCCAAAGAGCCACGGACCACAAAGACCCCCCAGTTGAGACAATGAACCAAAGAGAAGCAGCCCGAATGTATCCAGATTACAGTCCTGAGAAAGCCGAATCTGCTGCAGTGCCTGCCACACAGCCACAAACTCCCGCACTGTGCTGTGAGCCCAACAGAAGGACTGAGCCCAACGTCTCTGGCCGGCCCGGTGAGCACTGGGCACAAAGCCCCAGCCACAAGACAAGGCGTCTATGAATACATCGAGCGAGGGAAGGGGAAGGCACCATGGCACCGAACCCCGAGAATCCCGAAGAGGAAGCTGGAAACGAAGCAACCACCGCAAGGACCCTGGGGGTTGAACCCAGCGGTCGTGAGTGCGGCGAAAGGGCCTGCCCCTTAGATACTGGAACAGCCTCCAAAGCCAAACCCTGCCCAGTGGGTAAACTAGCAGGGCAAAGTTCAGACTCCCCACACAACTGCTCGAGTAACCGCCAAGGGACCCGGGTCCCCCCTCAAAAATAGCTGAAAGTGAGACTGCAGCCAGAGCAAAGCCACAGGAGGGTGGGAGATGAACGCCGTCCAAGAATCCCATACTAGGTCCAGCCAAGTCCAAACCTGGAACAGAACTCACAGGGACTTCTGCCAATTCACCAGAAACCCAAACCTGGCAAGTTGAGAAAGAACCAGATCCCTGGCTAGCAGACACCCAGACCAGGAGGAAGCCCACACCAACAAGCTATTGAGGTAGGCTGTCAGCCAGGAAGGCACCGGAACTTTGAAACGTACCCAAGCAGGGTAAGAGGAACTGAACTCAAACAAAACTGGATCCAACACAGAGGTGAAACCATGTCTCACCGGAAGCATGTGCCAAGGGCCTCCCCAAACCCCCCAAAAGGAAATCCAAGAGGAAGAAAACCTCCGAAAAGACGAATCCGAGAAACCCTAGAAATGTACCCGGAAATAAGTTTTAGGCGAGCTCAACCTACCACATTTGCCAGCAGAAAAGATGCTCCATGTAAATTAAAAGTTTCATTAGCTGTCCATATATATATATATATATATATTTTTGTAAAGCTGATAAAACCCTGTCGATTAGCAGGCAAACTGACCACCAATACCAGTCGTGAAACCTCGAGGACTCTAGAGTACGACTACCAACACAACCTAGGTGTACCTAATGAGAAGCTAGGCAAACCACCTCCAGAAACAATAGCGAAAACTCCAGACAAAATGAAAAATCCCTGAAGCAACACAATCAATCTGGCAGCCAGAGAGAATCGTCGGCCGCCACCTGGTTGCAAGCTGTGCCGGCCACAATGCGCCCCATCCAGCAACAATCACTCCCTACCCAGGGCAAGACGAAAACCCCAAGACCCGATACGTACCCCAAGGGCAAAGCCTACGACAAGCAATGTAGACCTCAACGGGAGTGAGTCTCTAACGCCACAGGAAAGAGAACCCTGAAACACAAGGGCAGTACTTACAGGGCACCTACAGAAGTTGACCCTAGGTGCATGCAGCCCCATGTACCAAGACCACCTGGCCAACACACCATCCACCCTGCTGGTACAGCCACACAGGGCAAAATCCTGAACAGCGAGGCCAAAGGTGATGTCTGACCACCAGGCACATCAGTCGAGAACTGAAGGGGCGAGCTGTCTGTTTCCCCTCTCCCCCTTCAGGGGAAGGGGGAGTGCTAACGAGTGAATGCGATAGTTGGATGAGGTGTTGCGCGTTAAGTTTTATTTTAAGGGGGGGGGGTATTTTGCTCTATTCAGACGTACGTGGCCATTTTTACCAACTGGAGGTTTGTATTGTTTTGCCTATCTTTATGGGTGCCCTCCCCGGTCAATGGCAAAGATGACATACTCTAAATGTAGTGTTCATGGGCCATTGCTACCTGCGCCTCTCTGAGGGGACCAGGTTCTGGCTCATGGTCCCCGGTAGGCATAAGAACTCCCATGACTGATGACCCCAAAACTAAGATTGCACCTGTCAATTTGGATAGCTTCAGGGAGCTGACAGGGCTCCCCACAAAAGTATGTACTTTGTGATGATGAAAATTGCTAGACTATTCCAACATTAGGTGAAGTGATAAGATATTTTTCAGGCAGCAGGCCAATAAAAGTGGTTCATGAACCAACTGCTAAAAATCCAGGAATGCTAATTCTGAGGGACTGATTTTCTCTACGCTTTGTTACAAAGAATGCATATTTTCACATACATTACTTTCATCTATACAAATTTTACAATTTACTTTTATTTACAATGATTTTTTTTTCTCATAAAAACTGTCCTGCAGTATGAAGATTTATATACTGACT